ATTTTTATAAATACTTAGCTTATTTTATATTTTGACAGACGAAATGAACTACAGAAAACGCTTTCTCTTAATATTGTCAGGAGAAATAGTTGGAAGACAATGTATCAGTTTTGCAGTGAAAATAAAAATTAATTTACACAAATAACAACACAGAAAATATTGCTCAGCTAGATAATAAAACTACATTTCACTGAAAAAAAAACATTCTTTTTTTAAATGGAGAGATTCTCCTAGAATGTTTTCACCTCTAAGAAAGACTAAACGAAAATTATGAGTTTATATTTATAAATAATGTTACTGAATTTTCATTGCAGTTTATAGAAGTATACACATTCAAGTAGAAATCTGTTGAAAAGCACAAAAAATTACCCTTCTTATGACGAAAACAATGAAATGATCGTGATCTTTTCTTTTTTATCATTATTTATTTAATTTTAGTAAACGACAAACCATAAAAATATATCTGATATATTAACAACATCGAACTTCTGGTTATTTAAACGTTTTAATCAACTTAATACAAATATTTGTGGGAAATTATTAGATAGATAGCGATCAAGTTGAAATATTAAATGAGTATAAAAATAGTTGAATGAGAAGATAATAACCAAAATATTGATTTTAAAGATATCAAATGGGAAAGGAAACAATCGAAATTGACCGGTTCTTCATTATTTTGAATAATGTTGATGTTGTTTCTGTTTTTTCCCAAATATAATATTCACACATTCTCATAATATTAAAAAGAGTTCTACTTTTCTTTTTGACAATTATATTCATTTTTAAAAGTAAGTTGAAAGAATCTCGTTATTTTCACATAACAAGACTTATGTCATCGATATTTTTGACACACAGTTTGCAGACTTTTACCTTTTATTAAGAACACATTACATAAGCATGGGTTGTAGTACAAAAATATATTTAATCATTTGGATTTTTAAGGGTTAGAGTACAACACTTATTAGATATATATTTGTTTTCGAAAAAATGAATTAATTTCTTTGTATTGGTCCTGTGCTTGTTGTGATAGTTTGATTTGGTCGCCATCGACACTTGAATAGTTGCATAAGTTCACGGCGAAATAATTTACTTGATAATGTAAAAACATAGAAACTTGTACATCCACTTAAAATACTCAGTCCACCAGCAATATTTGTAAATAAAGCATCTTTAGCATGTTGAAGAGCATCTGTTACTATATTGATTCTCAGTGCAGTATAGATATACAGAACTGTGAGAGGAGTTGTTGATAAAATAAAGTACGCACATTGAACAAGCATCATTTTTAATAATTGTCGATCAGCCATTTTTTGACGTTTCAACTGTTCTTGTTGCGATGTTGTCAATTCAGTTTGATTATTTAGTGGTACAAGTCTTCTTCCTGATCGTTGAACATTTCGAATAGTAAGTAATCCAAAAGTAAGCATAACTGTTGATGGACCTAAACTAAATACTAATAAATTCCATATACCACTAAATAATGGAAACGTAGTTTGAGCTGCTGGACATTTTGTGCCTGTATTTATATTTTGATATATAATTGGCACATAAAGATAAAAAATGGACACAATTATAAAGACGATTATAATAACACGATAAGTAACACGATGATTACTCCATGCTCGCACAGTAGCAGATGATGAACTGCATAAAAATCTGTAGAAAATAGAAAAATATGATAAGCTTATTCAAAATATTCTCAAAACTTCTACTGTAACTATACGACTCCATTGAGTCAAAATCTATTGAACGAATATAATTATTTTAAAGAGAGTTAAAATGAAAATCTTCGCACTGTCTAATAGCAAGAAAACGTTTTTAATCGAAAGAATGGAGATAAGCTTACGATAAAACTAATATTAGAATTTGTCAATTTCTATTTTTCTTCATTTGTAATTCTACTTACCGATCGATAGAAGCAACAGCAATATACCAAGACGTGTACACTCTAGAAGAATAAATAAAACACACTATATGACATATTTAAAAAAAAAACAAAGTCAATACTTTGAAGTTAGTGCCATAAATGAGAGAATTTTACATGATGCAGTTGAATATCCAAAAGGATTATACGCTGGATAATTTATTTGAAGATAACGCCACAGACAACTGGTCAGGATGATGCAAATACCTGTTACTGTTGCTGCTAAAAAATAACGTGTACATGGATTTGAACGAAGTGTTGGACGTGTAAATACATAAATATTCAATGAATGACCGATAGTACCAAGACATAATAATAAATAAGTCCAAATTTGGTAAAAGATCGAATTACCATAGTTTAGAGCATTAATCTCAGCAAGAGTTGCATTTGATGACGACATGGCTTTATTGAATGAATAAGAAAACTTTTACAGGGATTTTATATGTCTTTTTTATTCGATAATATCATGTAAATCAACAGTCTGGAAGAAATAATATATTTATAATTCTTTCTGCTAACCAAATGACGTTAGTTGAAACATTTTTTGCGCATGATTTTCATCAATAATGACACTATTCTATAGTCTCTTTAGAAACTGACAAAATAATCATGATCTATTCTGTAGATTTTTAGCATCATAATATCGGTTGAATGCATGATGAAAAGAAAATAATTGACATAAAATAAATATCATGTTATGAATAAAGTGAACCATGATTTTATATGACTTGATCGAGATTTATTTTCTTATCGATGATAAACATGTGGATAGAAACTGTCTATAGAAGTGACAATGATATAAATCAAAGGTGCGGAAAAGAAAACCTTTTATGAAGTATAATAATAATTCATAAACGGATATCTTTATAATTATGTTAGAAATAATAAAAATTTATTTTGTTTGATTGTCAAGCATGAACATCAAAAAATAAATGGAATATAAATCTTCATATAGAAATAAAAGAAAGAAGAGCATCAATTTATGGTGTCATGCTTAAAAAATAAAGAGTATGCTCTAAATATTCGATCTTATGTTTAGTCTCCGGGAACATACTTTATCCTTTTCATCCTCAATGTTTTTTTTGGTTGAGATGATTTCGAGACATTTAACCTATTTTAATGCAAGACCTTATATATATTAGAAAAAGAAAAAGAATAAGTGTGTAGCCTTACTAATTTTCTCTTGAGGGCGAATGTGGGTGTGAGTGTGGGTATGTAAGAAAGAAGAAAATAATAATACCCACCCACTTTTTGATATCTGTTCTTATTTTATACTCTTTATGTATTCAATAGTTCATATAATGATGTAGTACGTTGAAACGTACAAGAGGATAATCAAAACAACAAACACACCGAGAAGGAAAAAACGAAAACAAAATATATATCGAGAAGAAAATAACTGCACAGGCAGAGGTAGATAACCAAAAGAACTATATGAAGAAGAAAAGAACCAAGAAAACAACTAGGCAAAAAAAATAGGTTCAAAAAGACAATCATAAGCGGAAGACTACCTACAAGAACTTTCATATGATAATATTTAGAAAAAATCCGTTACTTCAGGTGATAAAATGTTTTCATATTGTCGATCAACTGGGAAGCTACATGTCGGAGAGGTATGTGAAATAGCTCCGCTATATATTGATAAATTCGTGCAACAAATAGGGGATGTGTTTCCCAAATGTTGGGGCACTAGAAACGAAAATTAAAAGTGGTGACTTTTCTATTGATTATTGGTTGATAATACATACTTCTGGAATCACTAAATATTGTGCACAACTTTCTGGTAAAATCCTGCGAATGTCGATTTGTTTTATAATGTTTTCTAAATTGTAGTTCGTAAGATGGTAAGGTGAACAACTAAAATATATATTAACATATCTGGATTTTAACATATTCAATTCCTCTAGGCCATATCCAAAGTTCCTCCAAATAATTATATATTCGGAATTTAAAACCTAAAATGACCCTGAATATTTTATTATAGACGATACAACGACTATATACCTTTACTAATGCATCTAGTGTTGGAAGAAAACTACGCCGTGAAATAGCTATAACTGGTAATCCTAATTGTTTCGTTAATTTTAATTGATTAATAAATACTTTCTTTTGAGTATCAATACATCCAACTCAGAACTACATATAAATAGTTAGCATATAATTAAAAAATATAAGAATTACCTGCTCAAATCTATACCAATCTCACCAACACAGACTACTGGACTGTTTGATAAAGCCTTTCGTGGATTCAATAACTTCATCCAACACAACCACCCAGGGCAAAGACAACGGCGTCGTAATTCGTCGATCCAGAAATGTATAGCAATAAGGAGAAAAACGACGGCTCGTATTCTGGGTTGACGGCTTACGGTGAAAGGCGACTAAAAATAAGGCAGTAAAACGCCGTTTTATAGTCGTTTCGAGCCATTTAAGACGCCGTTCCTGACAGCCGGAATGGTTAACATGGGCGAACTTCAATGCAATTTTGAAAGATCTATTGAAAAAAGCAAAATAATATTAGTAAGCCTTGTTTTACTATATTAATACCTTATTTACTTGTTCATTTTTAGACAGCAGATCAACAACGTCCGTATTTACTTGAAATTGAGGGTGTGGGTGTGGGTGTAGGTGGGTGTGAGTGTCCGTGTGAGTGTGGGTATGAGTGGCTGTCGGTATGTTTGAAAAAGATAAACCTACACACCCACACCCACACCCCACCTCATAGCCACACGCACCTGCACCCACCCACCGACGCACCAACACCCACACCCGCACCCTGTCTTCGACTGGTGCGTGTAAGCGCGTGTTTTCAAAAACTTGTCTGCCTGGGCACCCCTCTATATCCATTTCTACTTACTTACACCTTCCAAATACATGATACGAAGATAGGCAGCTTTTATCTTTTTTTTAAAATTGACAATAATTTTCAACATATACCTGTAGATAACAAAATGAGTATATATTGACACTCACGTATGCTCGACTTCAATGCGTAGAATACTTTATAAAAAATATTTCGGTTGTTATCGTTTTATTCTGGGCAAGGACCATTACCAAACATTAATATTTTTGTTACATATACACCCAACAGTTTAATTCTCGCATATTAGCACTAAAATTAGAGGTAAGTTTTCCATTTCATGAAACAAAAATGCTGATGTCTGTTGAATTCGTAGCGTATTATTATAAATGTTCATTCTCGGAGTATTCCCTACTGTTTTATTTGTTAGAAGGTAGACATAATCCAGGCACCAATAGTTCGGTTTCGCATTAAAACTAATTGAATAGTTTATTCACTTTCTCGTAGAGAAGCGTTTTACAAACATAAATTGTCTGCTTGCTTCTCTGTCCGCAAAGTCAAAAAAAGCATCGAAGACCAATTTCTCAAAAAAGACATTTCTAGAGGTCTTTCGATGCAGGTACTTCAAATCTGATGTTAGGTTTTTAAAATTCTTTAAAAAAATTTTTTTTTAGACAAACCAGTTTTTTACAAAATTGTTTTTTTATATAAATTTTGACGAAATGGCTTTTGAAGTCGGGGACTTCGAATCTGATGTTAGTGTTTGCAAGTTATATAAGCAAAAGGTCCAGTAGCATTGTAGAACACCATTTCTATGAGAAAGAGCTAAGCCAGTCCTTAGACGAGCGTTACTTGTTATTTAGAGTGTGTGTGACTGTGCCTGTGAGTTTGGGCTTGTGTGTGAGTGTGATTGGTCACTGTATCTACTTCATCCACATCCACACTCACACCCTTCCACACCTACCCACCCAACCAACACCTCGTGGCGTGCTTTTGTTATGTATGAAGGTCAACGGACACGTAACCCCTCGATCATCTTCATTGCAGTTCTTCATAAGAGTATGTGGCCTGGTGTTGATATCGAGTATTAAGATAGTCATCACACCATCACCCACATTCACACCCACCAACTCTTACACCATATCCACAAAGAACAGAAACATTCTTTCATGATGTTTTTAGGTGCTATGTCGCTCGACACCACTACTTATCTACTCAATAATGGCTACTCGATTCAACTCTTCTGCGAGCCGAAGCATGAGCTAAAACTAAAGCTGTGCCGCAGTGGAGTTACGATAAATTGGATTTCATTAAATGATGATAAATGTTCAACGCTTACTCATCAGTTATGTGAGACCGCTCATGAATTGTATGACTTATTGGTTGACTTGTTACTGACAGCATGGTCATCTTCAGAGAAAACCACTAGCATTCAAGTGATCAATGATAAACATCTCAAAATATGTTTTCCAATACATTTTGGCAGCCAATGTCGTTGGAAATTATGGTCATTTTCTGTCGAATTTTCGCATTTTCCGCGTGAGACTAGTATTTTGCTTGAAGAGCTCTCTCTCGATCCGCTTGACTGGAGTGAAACAAGATCATTAGGTCATCAAATTATGAACGATATGATTGACTATCTACGTGATATTCGTCTTCGGCCAGTTTGGCGCCCAATGCCAGCAGAAATAAAACAAGCATTTGCACAAACTGACCTTCCTGTAAAAGGTCAATCACCTTGGCAAACCTATAACGAAGTGCATTCACTTGTTCTTCCGTATTCTTTGGGGAATGACCACCCTCATTTTTGGGGTTATGTTCCAGGTGCAGGTTCATCTATTGGAGCTTTGGCTGAATTTATTACGGGAACCATGAATACAATGTCATGGGGCGGTCATCAATCGAGTATTTATATGGAACGCCAAGTTTTATCATGGTTCAAAACGGTAATGGGTTTTCCTAATGATGACACATGCTCTGGCATACTTGTGAGTGGAACATCTGTGGCCACAATAATTGCGTTGGCCGTGGCTAGAAAAAGATTCCATAATCGAAATATGAAAATATACTATTCGATGGATACGCACAGCTGCCTTATCCGAGCAGCTGAACTTCTGAATATTGAAAAACACAATTTGATTGCTGTCCCGGTTAATCAACAACACCAAATCGATTTAAAGGTAATCCATAAGAAAAGAAAAACTTTCCGTTTGTAGTTATATTTCAGGCACTGAAAGACGCAATTGATCCATGTTCTTGTGGTTTTATTGTTGGAACCGCGGGTACTACTGGTACGGGTGCTGTTGATGACCTTCAAGGCTTAGCAGATTTATGTGGTAGCCGTTCACAAGAACTTTGGCTTCACATCGATGGAGCCCTTGGAGCAGTCGCTTGTTGTTCATCGCGCCTAAAACCTTTGTTTGCTGGCTTAGAACGTGCAGATTCGCTTGCATTTGATTTGCATAAATGGCTTTCTGTTCCATACGAATGCGGATGTATTCTAATACGTGATGGTCACTTGCATAAATCAACATTTGTTCACCATATTGGCTCTTATTTGACATTGATGGACGGTGGATTGACACCTATTACAGGTGAACTATTCTTTAGTGATTATGGTTTAGAATTATCACGAAATATGAAATCATTGAAAGTGTGGATGACACTTAAAACATATGGATTCAAACAATTGGGTCACATCATGGAACAAAATGTCGATCAAGCAATGCATTTTGCTAATTTAATTAAACAGCATCCAAATGATCTTGAGTTACTTAACACAGTCTTACTCAACATTGTCTGCTTTCGATATGTCCCACATCATTCAAATAGGTTCGACGAACAGACAGTGAACTTATTGAATAAGAGGCTTCTGATTACCATGCAAGAACGTGGAATAGCTGTTGTTTCTCCATTTATATTCGATAATCATATATTTGCACTAAGAATGTGCATTACAAATCACCGAACAAAACTGTCTGACATGGACAGATTTGTGGAACAACTTATTGAGGTTGGTCGAGAGCTGGTAGGCACAACAGAATTTTCAATTAAAAAAAGACCTGGGTGTGAGTGAAAGTGGGTGGGTGTAGGTTTGGATGTGGGTATCATATTTAAATCAAAATCTCACCCACACCCACATTTACTTTCAAGAATTCTATTTTTTTTGATTGATTGTCATTATAGTGAATGATTTTATTAGATTCATTGTAACTGAGAGTGCGGGGTGTGGTATGGGTGTACGTGTGGGTGTGGGTAGTGTGTTGTTATTTCACACCCACAGCCATCCTCATTATTATGTATTTTATCAATATTATTACCATATTATTATTATTATTATTATTGGAAGTATTAGTAGTTTTGGTAGTATTATTATGATTACGATTATTACTGATATTTGAATAAATTGTTTTTGATAGTGTTTTGATGATGACCGCTTTAACCAACGCTATAAGGTCGAGAATTCTAGATTATTATCACATTTATTATCATATTCAGTATTATATTAGTTTATTTTATTATTACTTAAAATAAACAAAACACTAACATTTCGCTGCATTTTATTCTTATTTAGATTTAAAGCTGTATTTTGTAGGATTTTCTTTTTCAGATGAAAGAAGAAATGAACGACAAATTAAACGAAGTATTGGTAAAATGTGTACATAATTTACCAAAAAGTTTTTTCAGTTTTTCATGAAGCCATGAAAAAAAAGGTCTCGTTGTGGAGAAGGATGATAATAACGATAAATACGCGGGACGATGATTCTTGAAGCAGTATTCCGTGAATTTTCGGTGAAAATCGTCAGGAAACTCACTATTTCTGGTCGGAAGCCGCTGGAAAAAGCTAGTGATCCAGTACAAGGATCTGATGGTCGGGTACGGCTGTCGGTTCCGGACAGAATCCGGCGAATAGATCCGGTCACTGGAAAACTGCTTCCATGGCATGCACGGAATACTATGGAATCGGCCGTTTCCATGCCGGATTGTTCGACATGAGTATTAGGTAAAACAATTTCAACAATATCTTTTTTAATTAAAAAATAAATATTCATTCTAGGCTGAAATTAATTGGAATGTTTATCGTGATCTTAATGAATTAGCATTCTTATACTGAAAAAATCATATTAAACTTCGATATCAGTTTTCAAAATTAAATGATAAATGTATAGTACTATTAGTAAGCCTTGTTTTACAATATTTATGATTTATTTACTTGCTCATTTTCAAGCAAGTGATCGACAACATCGTTATTCATTTGAAGTTGTCAATAATGAATATGTAGATAAGAATGGGTATATTTCTTTATTTATTATATTGTATAAATAACTTTAGAATTTTCTAGCAACTTAATCAATGATCGTATTCCTCGGTTAAAAAACTTTTTTAAGCGACGGATAAATAGTTATACATACACAATTGATGTTGTCAAAGCACAACAGCTTCATATACCACAACAACTTGGACAACAATATCAAGATAATACTAATAATAATGGTCAATATCAATATGATAATAATTATTACCCAGGACGATGATTCCTGAAGCAGTATTCCCAGAACTTCCGGTTAAAACCCTCAGGAAACTCACCGTTTCTGGCAGGAACCCTGCCCGAAAATGCCCAGAATTTGCTCCTGACATCAGTTCCGGACGGAACTGAGCGGATTTTGTCACCGGATCCGATCACCGGAATACTGCTTCCATTTTCCTATGAATTTCCCGTGTTTTCCCACGGAATGCCCAGGAAAATCACGGAATCCGGTCGTTTCCTACCGTACGTCTTTGACATGGGTATAGTCATCAATCTCGTCAACCACGATAATTTATGGTTATATAATTGTTCATCAACTATATACTTTTTTTCTAGTGTTTTATGAACAGTTGCTGTTTTCTCTAAGTAAAAATAAAATTTGGAACATTTACGAGATGTTTTTTCTATTTTTTTGAATGTTACTGTTATTTTCATCTCTGTCATACGATATGTTCTTTTTGTTGTTTTTTGAATGTGGATGATTGTTGATGATGAACAAAAAAACTTAAAATATGTGCTTTATTAACAAAATCAACGGATCAATATCTAACACGAAAATGGTCATAACTATCAAGTTCGACGAATTTTAATGAAGAATTTTCATTCTCTTCTTTTTCACTGAACAATCGATTCCGAACTGCGTGTGGGTATGGGTATTCTCTTTGGATCAACAAAAAACACGACTTTATCGATTTATTTAGTACATAATGGAAACTTAGAGGATTCACTCATCATATGAAGTTATTGAGATATGTACAATCTTCTACTATCTGAAAATCATTCTTTTATTTATAAAAAAAAGATACATAAAATTCATGCTAGAAGGTTTTATCCAATACATTTTCTTATATTTTATTTGTTAAAATCATTCAAAAATTTATTTCATTGCAATAAAATAGATAATGGACTATGTAGAAACTTAATTTAGTTTATTATAAATAAGTTTTGCTTCACGATGGCCACTTTCAAAAGCACTATCAACACATCCTATTGCTCCACCATAATTTGTATGTTCACCTGCCCAATGTATTCTACCATCATAACATTCTTTTGCTAATTCTTCTACAGTTTCATGTGTTGAACCAGTTTTAAAATTTGAATAAGATCCATAAGCAAATGGATCGGATCCCCATCGAGTCATTAACCATTTCGTAGGCTTTGGCATTTGTGGATAGATTGGCTGAAGACATTGAATAATTTGTTCAACTATTTGTTCATCAGTTTGTTGTTCTAATTCACGTGCTAATTTACCAGCAACGAATAAAATAAGGATATGATCCTGTGAAGCACAGCCAAAAAATCGAAAACGATTCGAAGAAATAAATATATTGTCGAGTTTTTCATCCCAAAAAGTGAACGGAAATTGAATATGTATCTTATTTAATAAGCCCACACCCATTCGGTCAATCGCATTTTGTTTTCAATCTGGTAATGCTGGTGTGAAATGTATTCCATGCTTTTTCAAACAACCAAGAGGTATAGTTATCAAAACATATTTACACATATAATGTTGCTGATCTTGAGTAGAAATACATATAGAACTATTTTTATCAATTAGAATATTGATATGAGTAACAATTGTATTTAATTGCACAGGAAGATGATTTCGTTCGACTATTCGTTCAATAAAAGAGCCTAATCCAATTGGAAGTGTAAGATCACATGGTTGAATGTCATTATCTGATTTTTCAAAAGATTTAGTTGATAATTCACTAAGATTTGAAGCTTCATAATGCTCTACAAAAGCCAGGTTCATATCAACAAGACGACGCACTTTTTCATCTTGAATTTTTTCGTATTTATCACGAATAGCATCAAACATTGAGATATCCTCTTTCGTAGAGTCATATTGTTTAATATGTGCATAAAATTCTTCGACAATTTTTTCTGCTTCATTCATTGATGCTTCAGACCAAGATGTTCCATCATAATCAAAATGAGCAGTTGTTGTCGCGTCATTAAAGAATTGATAATTAAAACGATCTTTATCCGAAGGAGTATGATGTATAGAAAGTGGATTTTCTGGACGATAATGATGAATCCAACGTGCGCCTAAATCAATAGGTTCATCGGTAGCAAATGTATGTGTATCAGTATAAGTTCGGCCACCAACACGATTACGTGCTTCAAGAATTAAGAAAGATGGTGTAGGTTGATACTTTTGAAGTTCCAATGCAGCAGCTATACCTGCAGGACCACAACCAATAATGATAATATCATATAGTTTTTCTGATGTTGCCATTCTAACTATAGTTATTATAATTTAAAGACGAAAGATAACAGAATTGGTAAACTATGGAATATGAAATTTCTTCAGCATTATTTTCATTAAGAAAAATGTAGCAAGTCATTTCTTTTTATTTTCGATATTCTCTACAAATATTGAAAATCAACAATAAAAAATAAGTCTTATATATATTCGATACTATTGTCGCTAGCATCAACGAAATCATAAATGCTGTGCTTTAATCTACTTCAACGTAGATTGTTAAATGATTTAATACAAAGACAAATCTTCAGTATCTCTGATTTTTCACGCATATCTTCTCCTGTCGATCGCAATGATTAATGTGTTATACGCACATACATATATCTATATGAAAGATGATCTGTTTGTTCTAGGAAAAATAGAAAATATATTAATAAGTAGAAAAATAACAGATATTCTGACAGTAACTTTTTGTTTTGCTTTCGCTTTTCTATTATAATAATGTCAAGAAATCTTTGTCAATTATATACATGCATATATTTGTATATAATTTTCCAAAAGCAAGAAGAAGTCAACACAAAAATTGTTTTCTAATGGTATGGATAGAGTATAGATTCTTTTAATTTATCACACTCTCCAGCTTTATATGTACTCGTTAGCATTTATTATATAGAAAGGTTATACGACAAAAATGTCGTTCATAGATATTACCCGTAATGAACTACCGAATCGATTATAAATATTTTAAGAAAGGAAAATGACAGGCACCCTCATATACAGTAGAAAAGTTATGTCAAGGCAAAACTAATCCCTGGAACAATTGACATATTCAATCGTTTACTTTTTTGAAATATTTTTTATATTTCTAGATCAATATTATGATTAATCAATCAGTATACATATAAATATGATACTTCATGTACACGTTACCGAATTATATTAATTCTACTGTAAATAATATAAAGAATGATAGTATGGTTATTACCATCATTCCCACATCATTATCAACCTCACCTAATCAATCTTCGAGTATTCTATTAATTTTAATATTATCTATCCTCTGTTTTTTCGGTGTTATTTTTATGCTATTTGGTCCTGTTATACGATCAGAAGCTATGAATCAAGTAGATCATTATACATATGGTCAAAATTCAGAACAAGAAAATCGCTCCATTGATAATATCTTACATATTGACAATTAAATGAATATAAACTTTTGTCAAATTTATTTTTTTATTTATAAAAAATATTATAATAATATAAATGAATATAATAGTTAGTCATGAAGTTTTGTTCGAAAAGATCACACTACTAAGATTATTAATTCTATGAGTTACTAGTAAAAATAGAGATATATTGCTTGATTATTAGGAAAGAATTGTTTCTTTTTTTTAAGATTTTTGATTAAAATAAGCTTCAAGTGCTGGAACAATTTGTTTTTTTCGACTGACTCTTGAACCAAAATCAGCAATATGATCTTTAACATCAGCTTGGAATGCTTCGCGAGCCACTTTTTCTTCGTTTTCACCGGAAATTATTGTTAAATTCTTTTGATTAATGATATCAACAATCGAAAATAAAATACCATTTAAATTATGTTTTTTCTTTTCTTCATCGATTTCTTTAAGAAATTCATCTTTTCGTTCAAGCATTTTATCAACATTACATGTTTCACCAGTACCAACACCCCATTGTTCATTATTAAATTGAAATGTTTTATAATCAAGAAAAAGAACTTTATGTGTAGAAAATCCAGTTAAATCACTTTTAGCTTCAAATAATTTATTAACATAAGATTTTAAATCATCAATTTTAGCAATTGGTTGTAAATATTCACCGATTTTTCGATCATCATCAGTTGTTGTTGGTGATCTATAATAGAAATAATAGTTCAATAACTGAATTAATAAATTCTGAATTCTTCTTACTGAAAATGAAGTGTATCACTAAGAATAGCACTGAGAAGAAGAGTTGCTGTTTTTTGATCCATATCAAGATTATTTTCACGAAATAATTTTGTTAAAATTGTTGCAGTACATCCGACAGGTTCAAAACGTAAATAAACCGGTTCGGAAGTTGTTAAATCACCTATTTTATGATGATCGACAACATGACTAACACGCATTTTTTTCAAATTTTCCATAGATTGTTGACCTAATGATAAAAGAATTGAATTATTATAACAAAAAATTCATCTTAATCTTTACTTTCATTATGATCAACTAATGCAACTTGTGTCCCTTCAGGCACATTATCAGGTATCATATCAGGTGCTTCCATGTCGACTGTTTTAAGTACAAATTTAGTTTCATTATTTAATTCACCAAGACGATAAGCTTTTGCATTCACACCCATTCGACGAAGAAAATCAGCATAAACCATAGCTGCTGTAATTGCATCTGTATCTGGATTTCGATGGCCAACAACAATAACTTCATCCTTTTTATCACCCATGTTTATTTGTTTGTTTTTCAAACGAAAATATATTGGAATAAAGATATGATCTGAAAAGAAAATATGATAGGTTTTTGCTATATAATTAACTATTGCAAGATGGTAATTTTGTCTCATTCTCAAACTAAATATATAATGAAAGCAAAAACAATGTGAGAAAAGAAAAATAGAAAAGAATCACAAAAGCTGAAAGGAACGTGTATATATTTATATATATAAAGATATACTATCAATAAATCAACATTAGTAATGAGCCATCAAATACACACACACACAAACAAAATAAATAAAACGTTTTTCATAACTAATGTATCACTATATTTCATAATAGCAAAAAAAAAGAATATCTCGACTAATATCTGATCTTTGGTATATAAATGAGAATATACATAGACTTTTTTATTTTTTTTCCTAACGTTGAACTAGTTGGGTAAGAAGAGAATTAGTTGTATTAATTGCTGCAATCACTTGTTCAAGTAAACGATTTTGTCGACGTTGTTCAGTAATCAAAATGGTTAAATTATCGTTCACACTAGTATCATTGTCTTTTTCAGAAGTTAATAGTTGTTTCGGTGTCGTATTCGAACTACTAAATAATGGTTTTTTAGCAGTATCTGTTATAATAGGTGTTTTTGTTATTCCCGATTGAAATATCTGATTATTGTTTAGTGTTGGAGGTCGTTGTAGAAGATCAACAATTGGTTGAACAGCTTGTGAAATAGTACGTGAAACTAAATCAAATAATATATTAAACATTAGATAGAATCTTTCATTTATCACTCACTTTCATTAGCTGTTTGTGGAAAACTTTCTGTTTTAGTTTTTGATATTGGCACTGGTGTTTTAGGCAATGTTTGTTGAATTGGTTCTGCAAGTACTTTTGGAATCTTTAATGCAAAAACATTCTAAATATTTTTAGTTTATAAACAAATCTCAAACCTCAATAGGTTTTGGTGTAATTTGTTGTTGTTCTTTCTTACGTAATTCTAATACATGATCAGCGAGTGATTTTCCATTTTGAAGTAAATCCACAAGATAAATATCTTGATTCTTTTGCATAATTTTCATTTCAAGTCGTTCACTTTCAAAATCTCTTAAAAGTGTATCACGTTCATCATCTGTTAATTTAATATTAGCTAATTTAATTTGTACACTTTGCCATGGAATAGTTTTTAAAATATCTGGACATTCACTAATACGATCACTTGAAACAATTTCTTCATTACCAAAATCCACAAAATAGACACGACAACCATTTTCTATAAAAACATCATGTTCAATTATTAAAAGATATAATTATTTTTACCCGTTACACTTTCAATCCATGCTCGATACCATAGATTATCTGCATCATATTGTGCACAAATAAGTGTATCTGCTTTTGGTTGAACAGTAAGTGGTTGTTTATTAGCATTCCAATCTTTTAATATATTCATTATTGTTGGTAAACAATCACGCATAAGTAAAACATGAAAACATTCTGATTGAGCATCAACAGTTGTCAATTGAACATGATGCATTTCCGATAGATTTATATCAGGTTTATTTGAATCAAAATTAACTATTGGATTTTGTTTTATTACATTTGTTGATGATGAAAATATTGAAAGTATTTCATTATTTAAATTTCGTTCATCTAAATTTAATCGTACAACTGGAAAACCATTTTCAATACGTACTACAGTCATTTCAAGTTTAAGATCAAGAACTAGAATAATTATAAACAAAATAGAATTATTTGTACACAAATAGAAAACTTACCAAGTATGCCGAGAATATTATTTGTTTGTTCTTGGGAAAGTTTTTCATTAGATGGTATACCATCTAATATACATTTCACACATAATGCTGGATCTTTGTAATATCTATTATAAGAAAAGAAAATGATTTTTTGAACCATAGATGTCACTTACTCATTTGGTAATGGACGAATTTCAAGAATTGAATCACACCATCCACTATTACCCCTATATTAAAATATGAATGATGAAAAATAAGAGAAAAACAAAAAATCTATTTACCAATCAATATATTGAACACGTACACGATTTTCACCCGTTTCTAAAACACGAGCTCGATACCAATCACCATTGAAAAGTGCAGCACAAGCTTGTCCAACAGTTAATTTCGATTTATAAGAATTTGCTTGAACTTTTGAAAGTTGTTCATGTTTATTCATTTGTGTAATAAGTAATGTCGCATTGACATAATCATCTAATGTTGCTGCAAATATTATATTAGGTACTTCAAGATTTGATAAATAAACATTATAAATTTTATTGATAACTAATGGTTCATGTTCTTGAATATTTATTTGTTGAGTAACATTTGATGTTCCTGAAATAAGATTTTTCAATTTCAAATAGATTTAAAATGCTATATCTTACCATTTTGAAATGGACTTTTATTATTTGATATTAAAGGTGTTTGTTGTCCAGAATTACTATTCCATAATGGTTTATTGGACTGTGGTGTTCCATTTAGTTCATTTGTACTTGAATGTGTACTATCAGCTGTCATTGGTTTAAATTGAGTTGCACTTGGTGATCGAAAACCAGAAAATCGAGCATTAACACCAGGTGATAATGTACCATTAGTCTCTTCTGGATTAACAGCTGTTGCTGACGTCGTACGATTAAATGATTGACCAAAACTACGACTAGTAAATTTACAAAGTGTCAGTGAAGTTTATATAAAACACAATTTCTCGATAGATAAATTTGAACTTACAACCCATTTTGTGGTCGATCCGAGTTATTATTTCCATTTCGTGACTAAATCATAAAAATACCTAATAAATTTATAATAAAACAAAATAATTTACCGCTGAATGACTAACACGTAAAGTAAATCCATCAACAACAAACTCATTCATCTTTTCAACAGCTTGATTACAACTTTCGGCATCAGCAAAATTAACAAACCTGTATTTTTGAAAAATGAATAAAAAATGAAATATTAAAAAAAAGAAACATACCCACAACCACCTTCATAATTTGGAGTAAATGGTAAAACTTTACTTGAAATGATTTGTCCAAATTGTGAAAATAGATTATCCAACTGATTCTATATTGATATAAGTATAAAAATTCATATTTTGCTATTTAGAAATAACATATTAGTTTACTGTATTAAAATCTTTGGGTAAATTTTTAACAATAATACTATTGACACGTCTAGAATTAAATTTAAAAGAAAAGGTATAGATTAATATTCAAGAAAATGTCTTCGATTATTACTTGCTGAAATCGTTCATTGTCGATTTTGATAATGAGAAGAAAAACAGTCCTTTAAATTACCAAAATGGAGGCGCGTGCGAAGAAATTTTTACTTGAAGGAAGAGAAAACGATCACTAAACTGATTGGTTAATCGTATTAAACAATATGAATCACATAGAACTACAACTACAAGAAGAAGAAAAAAATAACAATAAATAGAAATATACACGTTGCATATTTATTTCTTTATTTGTTTAAGCTAGATTTCATATACACGAGGTCACTGACGACAATTTTAGCCTTCTATATAATAATAATAGCGAAAAAATCGCCGAATAAAAAAGATATAATTTAATATCTAATCTATTTTTATTCTAGATTTAAATCTCTTCATACGTTTTGTACAAAAATAATCATTGAATATGCCATTTTTCAATCGATTGTTTAAATTTCGAATTTTCGTATGTAATAATACACTTCATTAAATTTTATTAATCATGTATTAAATTCTTCCAGAAATTTCGTACAACTCTTACTGAAGAACTCGATGATCTTCATAGTGTAAGACCTGAAATATTATAAATATTTTTCTTTACACTTTTTTGGTTCCTATAGGAATTAAGTAATCTACAACAAAGTTTAACTCAAACACGTTCACTACAACGACAATGGACAAAATGGTTTGCGATCTATGCCATTCTCATCTATTCAGTGATAAATATCTCTTATTATACACTCTTTCTTTCACAAGATTTTCTCACTCGAGTTTATTCATATTCAATTTCTATCGCAGTTGCAGTTTTGTATGCATTTTTTTATCTAGACAGAATTTAAATAATTAAGTATATTTCTTTTTTTTGAAAAGATTATATGGTATTCATTGGATTATATGCTGGTACTTTCGAATGACTCTCCAAACAAAAGGTAAGCATAATTAACGTATATAAACTAATAACAACATACAAATCTCTATTTTTCAGAAGAAAAATTAGGATTATTCAGAGAACGAAAACAAGAATTGGTAAGAATTTATAACTGATCTGTTTGTTTATCATTGTTTGTTTGTTTTGATAGATCGAAGAAGTTAAAAATAAGGAAACATATGCTGTAGCAAAAAATCTTTTAGAAAAATATGGCGAAAAATTAACACCCGAAATTCGATCACCAACACTCAATGGTAATAATACAGGTATATAAAAAGATAATCTAATTAAATCCATTACACAAATTAAAATCTTAAATATATCATTATTGCAATCTGCTAAAGAATGATATGCATCATCTTATTTTCTATCACATATATCTTTTCATATTGCGTCATACTGACATTGCATCATCTTTTTGATGCTATTCGATCATTATATATAGTACTGATTTCGTTGCTAGAACCATTAATATTTGTTTTTTTAGATCTACGTCAACGCACATCAATCAGACCACAAACACCTGGTCTAGAAAAATCCACTGTTCCAGGTATAAATATTACCTTTCTCAAGAAAATAATATTTTATTTGTTTATAGTCATTTCATTAAATCCTAATGTACATGAAAATAATAATCTTCAATTACGAACACCAGTACGTGGTGGACCAACTCGTTTAGCTGGTAAGTGATTATCTTAATTAATATTTCAAATAACGTTTTATTTAGCTGGTGTAACACCTGGTAAATTACCACGTGCAATTTTACCACCTCAACGTACATTTTGGGGTGCAATTCTTGATACAGTTGTCGGTGATGGTCCATCAAAACGGTATGATTTTTTTTTGTTGTCATAAATATTTAATCGAAATTTTTATTTAGTTATGCATTGATATGTAAATCATGTAACAGTCATAATGGTCAGTTTAATATATTATAGTTTTGTAAATAGGTCTATCAATATTCTCTCTTTTTATTTCCTAGGTATGGCATTAGAAGAAGAATTTGAATATTTATGTAAGCTACGAATTTCAATTGAAATTCAAAAAATATAAATTTATAAAATTTTTAGCATTTCGTTGTGCATATTGTAATTATTTTAATGGTGCTCGTAAGCATAAACCAGTTTTTAATGGTAATTTACTAAGTCCTAGTCAACCACAAAGTGGAACTCATGTTGAATCTATGGATATTTCTATGACAGATTCTTCAGATACGAGTGATTCAGTAACTAAATCACGATTAACACGTAGATCGATTCGTATTCCAACAACAAATAATAGTCACAATAACAAGAAAGATATTCGTTCTCGTTCAATATCAAATGAAAATAAACGTCAAGATTCTCCAGTTATCTCATCATCAGAAGAAAGTTTATCAGATAAAAATAAGTGAATGTTTCTATTTTTGTTTATGATATATGTATAATAGTAATTTGTTTGATCCATCATGTATGTGTTTATTATGGATGATATTTTTTCTTTTTGTCTTATAAAAAAATGCAATCTCTTGTTAATTCTTTTTTGTCTAAATGATGTTATTATTTAATTGTAGATAGATTTCATCGTTTCTTGTATCGAAAAAAAGAACTAGTAAGATATGATGTTTTGTTTTTGAATGACATTTTTTTGCTTTTAAGTGTCGTCTGATGCTACCGGTGATAATGTAGATGAACAAGGTTCAACACAAGAAAAGATTAGTAAAAAGTATGTCATTTCTATTTTTTAGATGGTTTTTGTTTATTAGAAAAAACATTATGTTAGCTCGTTTAACAAGAAATATACTCAGTGCAGGACGTTTTCAAAATGCACTTTATCTGCCGTCTCAATGGTACGCATTCTGATTGAGCTAAAATACTATTGAAATTTAGAGATAAAATAGGGAGTTAGTTACGAAATCAATACGAGATTGCACTGTTTTCTCTTCTACCTATGAATAAGATCTATTGACGAGAATTGATCTTTCTCGAATTATGCTTAGAAAAAAACTGTGGATTACCTTATTTTGTTTATTTTAGTGAACTTAAACGACAAATGAAAGCTCAAAAGAAGGCTGACGATAAGGCAACAAAAGCACCTGCTGTACAACAGCAATCATCTGCTAAAAAGGAAGCAGCTGCTGCCGGTGGTGAGAATGAGGAAGCAGATATTGATCCGAATGTAAATATATTACTTATTTTTTAATAAAAATTATTATGAAATTAATAGGAATATTATAAAATGCGATTACATCATGTGCATCAACTTAAAAATGCCGGTGAAACAGTTTATCCACATAAATTTCATGTTTCAATATCATTACGAGATTATATTGATAAATATACTCATTTACAAAATGAAGAAGTCAGTGAAGATATTGTATCAGTTGCTGGTATATTCTAATACAGATTGAATTATATTTAAAAGATAATAATATGTTATTTAGGACGTGTTTATTCCAAACGTGCATCAGGAACAAAACTTTATTTCTATGATGTTTATAGTGATTCAGTTAAAATTCAAGTTATGGCTAATCTCAAGTAATAGACATATTTTTAAATATTATATTTTCTTTAAATATTTTATGTAGATTCTATCATAACGAACAAGAATTTGCAACTGTAAATGAACGTATACGTCGAGGTGATATTATTGGTGCTAAAGGCAAACCAAGTAAAGAAATTTCACATAGTTCTCGTTTTTTTCTATAACAAAATTTACTTTTCTTTTAGCACGAACAAAGAAAGGTGAACTAAGTCTTATACCAACTGAATTAATTATTCTCACACCATCACTTCATCAATTACCTAGTTTACATTATGGTCTTAAAGATAAGGTATTTTGAAAAATAATAAAACGTCTTTGAATAAATATATATTTTTTCTTTCTTTTAAGGAAACACGTTTTCGTCAACGATATCTTGATTTAATGATTAATGATTCTGTTCGACAAAAATTTGTTATTAAAGCAAAAATTATTAATTATGTTCGACAATTTCTCAATACACTTGGTTTTCTTGAAGTAATATCATCTGTTTTTATTAATTAAACTCATTTCGATAAAATTAGGTTGAAACACCAATGATGAATATGATTGCTGGTGGTGCTGCTGCTAAACCATTTATAACTCATCATAATGATCTTGATATGAAATTATTTATGCGTGTTGCACCAGAACTTTATCTTAAAGTAAAAAATCTCTAATCTTTCGAACATATTTTATATTTCTCAAATGTAATCTAGATGTTAGTTGTCGGTGGTTTAGATCGTGTTTATGAAATTGGCCGTGTCTTCCGTAATGAAGGTATTGATATGACACATAATCCAGAATTTACAATTTGTGAATTCTATATGGCCTATGCTGATTATAATGATTTAATGGATTTAACTGAAAAATTAATATCTGGTCTTGTTAAACATTTATATGGAACCTATAAAATATCATATCATATGAATGGACCAGATGAAGCACCAGTTGAAATCGATTTTACACCACCATTTAAACGTTTAAGTTTAATTGAAGATCTTGAAAAGGCTACGGGTGAAAAATTTCCACCAGCTACAGAACTTACAACACCAGCAGCAAATAAATTCTTAGATAATCTTTGTAAGAAACATGAAATTGAATGTACTAATCCACGAACAACAGCTCGACTTATTGATAAAGTACAAAATAAAAATTTTGAAAGCGAAATTAAACTTTCATTTTGTTTTCTTCTTATAGTTAGCTGGTCATTTTCTTGAAACTCAATGTCTTAATCCAACATTTCTTTGCAATCATCCACAATTAATGAGTCCATTAGCTAAATAGTATAAATTTAATCAAATTGAATATTTATTTTTCAAATTTTTTTTATTAATAGTCATCGTTCAATACCAGGTCTTACTGAACGATTTGAATTATTTATTTGTTACAAAGAAACATGTAATGCTTATACAGAATTAAATGATCCAATTGTACAACGAGAAATGTTTGAATTACAAGCTAAAGTAACGAAAAAAACAAACAAGAAATTTTATTTTGAATAATTTAATTAAAATAGGATAAAGATGCAGGAGATGATGAAGCTCAATTAATTGATGAAAACTTCTGTACAGCACTTGAATATGGTCTTCCACCAACAGGTGGTTGGGGTTTAGGTGTTGATCGTCTTACCATGATGCTTACTGATAGTAATAATATCAAGGTAAAAATATATTTTAAGAATTTATCTTGAAATTTTGATTTTTTTTTTCTTTTGTTTTTTTTAGGAAGTTTTATTATTTCCAGCATGTAAGCCATATAAAGAAGGTGAAGATAATCAGAAAGCCGAAGGTGTAACAACAACAGTGACAACAGCTGGCAGTGCTACGAATTGATCCATTTCTAAACCAGTTGTTTTGTTTTTAAGCTAAAAAGAAGAAAAAGAAACAAGAAGTTCTTATTCACCAAGAATATTTTTGTTTATAGAAAAATAAAAAAATTTTATGAATAAAAAACAAAATACATCAGATTATTCAATATGAAAAAAAGTGTCATAGAAGGCTTCCTATGAAATAATCTATATATATCTAAATACATATGTTTATTGATATAATTTCAGATTTTATGCTTATTGATATATAAGATGTAAAAGCTAAATTTTAATGATATTAACCCTTCGTGGCTGTCGTGGAGTCCACGCGGACCCATTTCGCATATTTTCATCCAAAAGTACATCGGAGGCTTCTGTGTTTGACCTATTCTTTTGGATCGCCACTAGTCCTATGTCGGTCTATATCATCCTTATTTCAAATCGCACATAAGTCTAATAGATAAAAAACGGCGCTATGGGTCCGCGTGGATCCCAGAACAACTTTACTCTTTTCAACATATTTTTTTTCGTGCTAAAGCTGCCATTTGTTGGTTTATAGTATTCTTCAAAAGTTTAAGTTTAGTTTATATCATTTGTTACAATCAAAACTACATTTACTGCTTGTAATTTATTTAAAAGTTTATCTGTTTTTTTATATGTTTGTCTTAATCCCAAGAGAACTAACTCATGGGTCTTTATACATAATGATGTCTATATCTTCATATAAGTCTAATATAACGCATAGAAACAAGGAAAAAATAGTTTTTTGCATTTTTCTGCAGGTGGGTCCAAGTGGGCCCCACGACAGCTATGGATCACAAAAATGAGGACAGTCACGAAGGGTTAATCATTCTTATACAAAAAGTTCTTAATATGAAAGAATTTCAGGAGCTGATGACCATAAATCTATATATAATCCAATAAAAACTGAATGTTTCGAGATATCATAGAAATCAATAAAATAATTTAGTTATAATCACTGATAAAATACGTATGAAGATTCAATTATAAATAAATATCGAGAGACTTATAATCATCTTGTAATAAACGATAATGTCGTATTCATTATTGTAGATGACACAAATATTTACTCAACGTTTGATATCTAATATTCAATCATCATCGAATAATTCTCGACAAATATGGAACTCGCTAAATATTATTTGGAACAAGTAAGGTATGTTTGATTTACTAGTATGATATGAAGAAATGAGAATAAGAGTTTACTTGCTGAGCTTCTTGATAATATATCATTTATAATGATTCTTCTGTTAAACTATATAGTTGAGAAATATGACATGCAACGAAGATTTTACATCTCTTAGATCGAATTTAGTATAGATATGTTATTTTTGTTAAGATATGATCGAAAACGTGCACGAGAAATTGGTCCTGATCGTGCTTGTACTGAATGGTTGTTAAGATGTGGTGGTTCTGTACGTTTTAAACATTGGGGTTCATTTATATCAAATTATAATACGATACCCACTGGTGCTTCTGGGCAATTTCATATTGAAGAAATTCGAGCTGTTAACGCTTGTATTACATCTGAAGGTTTTGCATATTTAGGTTACTTAATTGTTTTTATATAATATTTTAAGTTAAGTTTGTATGCTTTTCTCTCTAGATGGATTGAGTCATTTGAAAAAAATTCATTTAGAAAAATGTGATCAAGTTGCTGATAGTATGTGTCTATTTTATTCAATCTTCATTTATATATTCGTATTAATTTAGGTTCTTTTGCTCGGTGTAATAAAGTAAAGGAAACATTAGAATCCATAACACTTATCGATTTAACTCAAATTAGTGATAATGGTCTTGCGTATCTAGCTGGATTGAAGTATGTCAAATTCTTGAAATATTATTCAACTGTAAAAAAATTTCTATTTTTATAGAAACTTGAAACAAATTGATTTGGCTCGTTTACCAAATGTGAAAAATCGTGAAGCAGTAATGAAATTATTAAAAAATGAATTGCCTCAATGTACAATTATTTATAATGATGAACATCCTCCTGCTTTCGAACTCAAAGAGAAATGAACATGCTTTTTTTTCTTCTATTTAACTAAAACATATTCATAATTGTTTCGTAGTTTTGTTAAATTGTTGATTTTATAGAAAATAACTTGTTCTATGCATAGGAAAAAAAAATTATAATTTCAAATTAAATATTTGCTAATCTCATAATACAATTACGAAGCACGATCTAACAACAACGCATGCTTATAAAATGAGCAATCGACATAATTTTATTAGATTCATTTATTTAATATATTAACAAGTCTACTAGCTCTATTTTTTCCTATTGGTTGTCAAATGAACTAGAGGTTCTCGATGATTGTCAATGGTATCGAGTAAACCAATCAATTAGCAAAAAAAACAGTATACGTGTTTTCTATACTTATTACGTTGAATCTATTTTTCGCAAAATATTTTGATGAATATTATATTTTCATTTCTAGATTTTTAATTAATGGAATCAACAGAAAGAGCGTCGTCTGAAAATGATAATGTTCCACCCTCATCGCACAGTAATGATGAGAAGAAAACATCATCAAATAACGATAAAGATTCGGGTTACGAATGCAATGTGAGTTATTATTATATTGTTTTTTTCTCTATTAATTGATATTATAAGAAAGAAATTTGATCTTTAGATTTGTCTAGAAACAGCTCGTAATGCTGTTTTATCACTTTGTGGTCATCTATTTTGTTGGCCATGTATTCATCAATGGCTTGAAACTCGTGCACAGAATCCAACATGTCCAGTATGTAAAAGTAGTATATCACGTGATAAACTAATTCCAATCTATGGACGAAATTCTCCTCAAACTGATCCACGGTAGTACCAAAAAAAAATAATTCTAATTAATCAATTTCTTATTTTGTTTTTAGAGATACCGTACCACCACGACCAGCTGGTACTAGAGAAGAAGCACGTCAAAATCGAGTAAAGAAAATAAAAAAAAGAAAGAATAATATTTTTTATTTGATTTTGATTAGAATTTCGGTTTTGGTGAAGGTGTTAATTTTCAAATGTCATTTGGTTTTGGTGCATTCCCATTTGGTTTATTTCAAACAACATTTAACACAGCTAATCCTGATTATAACTACACCCCACGTAGATAATTTTACAAAATAAAATTACAAATTTTTATTTTTATTTCTTTTAGCACCACCAAATTCACCTGAATATCAACAACAAGAATTATTATCACGTGTATTTCTTGGCATTGCGTTGGCTGTGATTTTATTTATCCTCTTTACTTGATGTTTTTGCTCAAATATAATGTATTCTTGTCGATTTTTTTTTATGTTGAAAGAAACAAAAACAAAATTTACAATAGCTTTACTTCTAATTTTATTTTTTTTGTATACATGTCTTGTGGACACATTAATGAATATATATAAGTGCCTATATCAACAGAAAATTTCTTTTTTTTCTTTCTTTATTCTAGATATAAACATTCACAGACTGAAATCAAATGTAATAATAAAATTTCTTTACTATAAAAAAAAATTCATGAGAATAACTTAATATTACATTTTCTAGAGATTATAACTAACATATCATGTAAAAATAATGACAGAACATGTCAACTCTTATATTCCTATATAAAGAAGAAGAAGAAAAAAAATCTTGTCATCGGTATAGAAAAATATTCTTTCTACATTTTACACACCATTTATGATTTATTTTTGTCATGCATTCATAACTAAAGTGACCCGAGGAAAAATAGAAGCACTTCGCTTATTTATTCTTTATAGTCATGGTTAAATTTTTCAAAAAAAAAATTATACTCCAGAAATAATTTATTCATTTTGAAAAAAAAACACCTTATTACAATCGAAATCTAAGCTAGTGAGTACAAGCGCGTAGAATGTTCTGAGACGACTAGAGGATTTTTATTACAAAATAAGATAATATAGCTTTAGAAGAAAAAATATTTTTCTATCTAATGGTATGTAAATTAACAAATTCTATTGCTTTTATTGCAGTGTATTATATTTACTTTGGTTCTCTATAATGTCGAGTTGAATCTGTTGAGGCGTCATCTAAATCATATACAATGGAAACCAAATCTAATATAATCTATGGTATGTAACACAAGTTACTCATTTATATACTATTTACAGAAAACAAGTCTATCCTAACGAACCTATATATATCCTTGTCTATAGTAAAAAAAATAGAAATATTTTGTATTTGAAAAGCTTGATTATTATATTGAATATTCATTTTTGTTTAAAGATCAAATACTATTTTTCTAATAAGTATACTTATTTTATTTTTGTTTTGTTCGATTATGAATGGCATGATAAAAAGAAATCATATACAAATTGAAAGAGGAAAAAATTTCTTATTAACTAATAAAAAAAACTTTTCTTTCCGGAATGCGCTTATAGAAATATATAAGGGTCGACAGTTCGTACTACTATTTTTATACTATCTATTAGTTTCCGATAATAGTCATGATTTTTAACTTTGTTGTTGTTGTTTGTAGTTCAGCTGTTTGATTCATCAAGTTTCTAAATTATTATTTGACATAACTCCAGGGTTCAATACTATATTGATGAACGATTTTTATATGTGGTAAATATTGCCATTACAGTTAGTTGTTTTCTACATTGACATTGCTTCTACTGCCTGCACTTACATCTTGTTTTGTACTTCATGCATTAATTATTCAACAGAAGCATTACTATTCTCCAGAGATGCTCTCTCTCTCTCTTATAAATACACATATTAAGAAGTATTTACTTGCGGAAATAGAGTATTTCTTATGAATAAATATCTTAATTCGTCAGATCATTTAAATCCGTATTTGATTAAAAATCTTCTTCGCCGTTTATTATAGAAACGAGCTGTCGTATTATACTAAGTTTTATTAATCATTTTCTTACATAATTGAAATAATTATTCATTCATATTTAATGAACGGAAGTTAAAGTATTTTCAGTTATGTAGAAAAATAAATAGTAAAAATAGTTCTTAAATAATAAATATATATATATATATATGTTGATTATTCATTGTTTAATAAAGAAAAGAGTTTTAATGATAAACATATTTTTTTGATATCAATCTCAGTTACAATAAATGAGGTATTAACTTCGATTATTAATCATTTAAATTCCATGTAATTCTTTCTATTATTATTTATTCGGCATTGTATCAATTGTCATTCAATAGAGAACAAAAGTCTATACAAATATTCTTGATAAGAATCAATGTATTCTCTATTATTTATTCATTGTTCTCTGCCTTCTAGCATATTGTTATTATAATCGATTGTAGTATATTATTAAATATATATATATATATATTCTTTTTCTGTTAGATAAAATTAATAATTCAAATCTGTTTGACTTCTTTCTATTGAAACTTTTTTTTACTTATAAAATAGACTACACCTACGCACATAGAGAAGAAGAAGTCTCATTAAGTATCATAAACTATTCTATAGATTTGTTAATAAGTATTCACTTAATACAGACGATATGTTTATAGAAATATAGGTCATTGTAGAATGTAGATATATTGATAGAAATGTTGCTGATTTAGTTTATGGATAGCGTGAGAATATGATGATGAAGAAAAAGGGAAGAATAGAGAGTAGGAGGAAAAATAAGAAGGCAATTGCTTTCGGGAAGACGAGCGTTCTTAGAGTATGTTTTGACATGTGGGAAAAATAGAAAACAATTCAGTCATCATCGTCGTCGTCGT